AAGTTCTGCAAGCAGAGTGCTCCTCTGCTGCTACTGCTCAGCAGTATCCCAGTGACTTCAGCAAACCCAAGAAGTTAATGAGAGTAACTTAACTGAACTTGATTTTTAAGGTTCATTCTTTAAACACCAAGAATTATTATTATTATTATTATCATCATTATTATTATTATTATTATTATTACTGGAAATAAAACCAGCTTCTATCTACTGCTGCTTTATAGTTCTGGATTATTTTGGAAGGGGGGAAGGAGGAAGAGAAAACCAAAAAGAGTCACACAAAAACGAAATATGGCCTACACTTGCAGCCACTATATCAGCCACCTACATCTCCTTTGCATGGAAACCTCACTGGTTTTGGCCCTCAAGCCAGTCAGAACAGATGTGGTTTTGTTTCCATTTAACAAAGAGAAGCTCCATTTGACAAGCAGATTCTGAAAAAAACCCACAACTGGTCTCTGACCTATGAGAAAGTGACTCCTCAGTGAAAGAAAAAATAAAACAGTTTTAATGTTGTTTCAGAGCAACACATGACCCAACCTAAAATTGCTCTCCCAGGTCTGAACTTGGCCCCTGCTATCAAAGTATCCTTACAATGCTGGTCACAAGCAGTGGTCCCACTTTGAAGATGCAAAGCCTTGCTGTTGTAAGGCTTAGTGAGAATCAAAATCACGCAATCCCTTCAAATTTCCACACGCTCACTAGCAGAACTGCTCCTCTTCTAGCACTCAAGCAACTCCTGAGGAGCCAGGATAGAGGTTTTGGACCTTATCTGTAGGAAGAACTTGGATGCGGGGAGAGAGAAAGCATAGGGACAGGAGGGCTAAGGATAAAGGAGGTAGGCAGACTGCAATAGCAGGAAAGCGTAGCATACTTTCTGTAAATTATCATTACACAGCACCAGCCAGCTGCCTCATGTGTTGATTACGTGCTCCTTTACCCTCCCAGTTAACAAATTAACTTTAAAACAAGCTTTACTTGCTGGTTATTTGCAATCGCAACAAACCCAAATCAAGTTACACATAATTTTCTTTATTTTCACACCATCCAGGTTCTTGTAAAATATAATTAATCTTCTTCCCGACAAGCCTGAATGCCAATTGCATGAGTTAATTTTTTTTTTAAAAAGTCACTAAATTATGTAACAAAGTTTGATTATTGAATCGCTTGCTAAGCCTAACCTCTTTGAAGCAATGAAAACTACAGCCTTGTCTCCGATCTGGGTATTTCTAATGCAGAAAGTTTATTTTCGTTCAAAAAAGCCAAGACAGAGCTCCCTTCCTCAACACTATTACTATCATGTGGAGACAAGGCAAATAATTAACAACTACGAGCTCTGCACAGCCTCATTAGCAGCACAGCACTGTGAGTGTTCTACAAGGTATTTTTAAATTGCACCATGACCATCTTCATTCTGACAACTGAATTAAAAGCCACTCCTTATAAAAATACTAAATGGGGATTTAACATTTCTACAGTGTCTTCAAATGGTTATTAGCTGACAGAAAATCTTGACCAATTATTTCCCAAACCGTAAAATATTAATTTACAAAATAATAAACTCTTCCTGTCAAGCTACAGATGTATTAAGTTATGATATTTAATATGTGCATCTACAACATGCTTAGGCTGCTGCGGTAACTGCTAAGATCAGTAAGGAACAGGATTTGTTTTGGAGCAGAATTAAGGCAGGCAGATCTTTCTTTTTACACAAAGTTTTAGTATAACGATCTTAGGTAGTGTTCAGTATTACTTACCAAATTATGCAGCTTCTTATGCAAGAATTACAGGGGGTTTGGAAATAAATCTCTGCAAGAGCGAATATCAAAGTTTACCATAGCTTTAGTTGCTACGGTGTGGTATTTCACTGAGCACAGACCAATCTAATTTGCAGCATATACATAAAAACTACTGCAAAAGAAAGCCCTTCAACTGTTTTTTTCCACTCAAAAAAAAAAATCCTGATTAAGCACAGGGGTAAGAAATTTTGGAAAGTGTGAATGAGACACAAGCATCTGATTAACAGAACAACAGAGAACTGTAATTTTACCTCTAACTATAAAGAGGCTTTTCAAAACAGCATACACCATCCTTACAGACTTGAACATCAGTTCCTGAGCATCATAATCAGAGACCTCTCTACAGAGTCAAAGATCTCTGATAACCACAAATATAGGAGAGTCTATTCTCTGTCAGACAAAGAACCATGAGCAATACACATGCAGCAGGGGAGGGGGAAAAAAAAAAAAGTAAGTAAATAACATTCCATAGAAACACCAACAAAGACCCCAGAGCCATTAATACGAGAGTGGCTCACAGGCTGCTTACAGTAAGAACTATAAAATCAGCAGAACAGTCTCGAATGGTAACCTGTTCTACTGAAAATCCCAACACATTTGACTTAGCAACACTGCACCTTATGAGGCAACAAACCACAAGATATTTTTGAGCTCAAAGTCAGAAAGGCAAAACTACATGAAAGCCTCAGTTCAACTAAGGTAACTTTTTTAATGAGTTGCAGCCAATATAGATAATCCATCGCATAGCAGTAACCCTTTATTTTCCAATTAATTCTGGCTGTTTTCTAGCCAAATAATTTTCCAAGTCAATTGCAGCAGGAGAGATGAAAAATATAATTTTATAATGAAGGCTAGCACCCAGCCTAATCATGAGATAATCCACTGCTCTCAGTAACAGAATCTTCCTTCCAAAATTACCAACGCAGGCTGACAAACATTAAGTTACATCTAGCAGAAGAGCATCAACTCCAATGTAGTTTTCCAAAAACAAGGCAAAGCCACTTGTCCATATCAATTTAAGAAACCTATTTAAAAACAAAACAACAAAAACACCCCCAAAAAACAAATCAAAACACAAAAAAACAAACCCAAACAAAAAAAAACCTAGATTTAATGCTGCTTTGTCTTATCCATGAACATAGGGCAATTTGAAAGTACAAATACAATTTTAACACTATTCAATTTTCAGGTTTTTACATTGATTACCATTTAAATATTTGTTCTGTGAAGATTTCTATTGCTTCTGAGGAGGAAAAAACCTCGCATATGTAAATGACATAAATTTAGAGAAATCTATTTCAGTTATTTTATTGAGAATACTTGGTTATAAACCCCAACTGAGTAAGAATATTTCTCACTATTGCTTTTATTAGCTTTCTTTTTTTTTAATCTAAGTCACACCCAGCTTACAAAAAAACCCCAGCACATACATTAAAATCCACTACACATTTTAACTTAATGCATTAAAATCACAGAACGAGATCTCCCAGGTCTTCACTAAATTAAATCTGGCTCTCCCTTAATAGCAATTACAGTTCTTATCTCTGTAACTCCTACCGGAAGGTTGCTTTGGATCCTCCTAAGTTAGGAATCCCCTTCTGACTTCTAAATGGGTACACGTATGGGCAGCCTATATCAATCTGAATTAATGTAAGAATTTCCTCTTAACTGTCTAACCTACACATTTACAGATAGCAATCAGAATGGTTTCTTCCTGCTCCAGAAAAGATTCATATGTAGGCATTAATAGGAAGATTCTCTTCCTTGCATCAGCTCTATCAATCACGCAGCCATGCAGCAAGTCAAACAGGGAACCTGATCCGACAGAAAACTAACCCAGCAGAAGAACTAGTTCTCTGTCAGATCAATGCGATCCTTTCAACAGCTGCCTGTTAGAGCAGACTAAATGTATCATGAAACAGCACACCAAAAGTTTACGAAGAACTGGCTAGCTACCTTAAAAATAAGGCAAACATGGAATAACATCTCATAAGAAGCGCTCCTTAAAGCCAGCATTTTAACAGGCACTTGAATCTCCCAACCATCATGAAGGAAGCAACGGACAGAGAAGGAAAAAACGCTGTATCATCTGCAATCCATATCATGAGGCCTTGGTTTTCAAAATAGCATTTGGCTAGACACAGATGAGCGATAAGAAAAGTTCACGTTCTCACACCGAAAAAGAGCAGAACTTCTCCAACCTGCTAAATCCACAAGATGAAGACAGCCCACTCGACTAACAATGATTTTCATTTTATGGTCACCACCAAAACTTTTAAATTCCCCCTAAAACAGGCCACTGAAGTCATTCTGCATCTGTGTTTAAGTTATCATACGATACAAAGCCTGTTCTGATGGAAGCATTGTGATAAACCATCCTGGTGTACCTCACCCTGTGTACCTTTCCTCCTGCAAAGCCCACAAAGATGTTTCAATATGTTGTTATTTTTCTCATTTAACTGGCAAAGGGCTGTTGTAACTGAACCCGTCCCTGCAGATGCTACCCAGCTCCTCAGGGAGAGGTATGTAGTGCTTTCCAGAGGTGAAGGGCTCTGTTTCAGCAAGTGGTAACTACTCATGTTCACAATGCAATTAACCCTGGCATGGCCGATGCAAAGGGATATAAATTGCTGCTGAACAAAGTTCAGACTGTATTATTCTCCCCTGCCTCAGGTATAAAAAAGATGCTTTAAGAGTCCCTCACTAGGTTCATTAAAAGGAACAACATTCATCCAACATCTCCAAAATTACATCCACATTTGGTCAAATGCATAGAATTTATAAGCGGGTTTTTCTGGAGAAAGTGGCGGGGGGAGGGAGGGGGATGGTGTTTGGTTTTTTACTATTTTTAATAGTATTGAGACTAAATTGAATCTCACAGTGGGTCTCCTGTAAGTTAAGACAAACAAATACAAGGTGTTAACGAAAACAGACGTATTTGACTAAGCACAAGATTTTTAAGTCAAGTGGTACAAAATAAATCTCAGTTTGAGAGAAACTCATGTAAGCAACCTAAGCTTAGTGAAAGTCCAGCTGAAATCAGACAAGTTCAGTGTGTCAAAGAATCTCATTCAATATAACCTGACCTTAATTTCCTCACTAGGCATTCACTTTAGCTAAAGAAATAATATCAACATTTAATAGCACCAGTAGGTAACTAGCAATAAAGTTTCTCTACAGAGAGGTATTTGCTACTCCGATTTAGCATCCACCTGTACAACAGATGTGTGCTTATATATAAATATTTAGAAACACATTTTCACCTATCAAAAGATGCAAGTTTTTAAGTGGAAAGGAGAAAGTGAAAAGGAGTTTCATTTAGAAACTCTCACCCAGGCATTCTACAGGTACTGCAACAGAAAATAACTACTATTTAAGTAACTCATTTGAGTCATGTCACACCCTAGACAAGGATTAATCCAACACCTTCGAGGCCTTTTTTACCTTAGAAGAAGGATTTGCTCCTCAGCAAAGATATAGCTTATGCTAGTAGAATCGCTTCCACTTGGCTCATTTAGATCCATTCCCCAGACCGAGTTAAGACAAAGTCCTCTGGCCAGTAAACCCACGCCCATGGCAGGGCCCCCGCTGGCAGCGCTCCCTTGACACTGAGCACCCATCTGGTCCGGGCCAGCCACCTCCAGGGACCTGAACACCTGAACCCTCATCCCTCCTCAGGCCCTTTCCACAGCCTAGGGAGTGCAAACAGAAACACAAAGGCACCACCTGGGGCAACAGAAAGCCACCCCGTTTTAAGGAAGAAGTACTTTTCTCAACTATTTTGTTTCTGCCTGTGGAAAATAAAAAGCTTACTGACAAAGCTGAGTACACACAACTTGCAACTCAGATCAGTAACATGTAGTTCTGCTTGTCATCAGCCTGACTACAATTAGCCATTGGTGTGTCATACTGAAGATAACCAACAGCATCAGCAGGCAAGACTCATGGATTTTTTTTCATGTACGTGGCCTCGTTCATAAGGAACAGCAATCACCATCTTAAGAGCTGGCCTTTGCCATCTGCAGTATTTGCTGGGGTTTAAAATGTTACCTACGAATAAAAGCAAGTTTTCCCAAAGTAATTCATTAGCAACAAGCAACATCTAGGTCTGGAGACAAACTTTCCATCACACGTCACCTCTTCACATGCTAACACTCAAAATAATCCAATCCAAACATAGGGGATGAGGACTGAACACATCTGATCTGCATTAGCCGGACACGTGAACGAAGTGCTGAAGCGCCCTACCAGAAAGCCCCCTACCCCCGGGGGCGTGGGGAGGGGGGCGGCAGGCGGGTTAAACCTCCCACGGCCAGCCGGGACACAAGCAGGCTGGCTGGGGCGAAAGGAAGCTGTAATCCCCCGCTGGCCTCAGGTGCCACCGACCAGCACGGGGAGCTGGGCCGCGGGGCACAAGGAGATGGGGGCAAGAGCAAAGAGTGAGGGAGAAGAGGAAAGGGTTTAAGAATACCTATTAAAAAAAAAAATTAAAAGGAAGTCACCACGACAGTAGCAGATCTAGAGGTGAGATCTACCTTCCCCCATGAAATCACCGGAAAAATGCAGAGTAATCTAAGCGGATGCACGCACATGTGTGCACCCACAGCCGACACACACACAAAGCACAGAGAGCGCATTTGCGGAGTTGCCGGGGTCCCGGCGCAAAGCAGCCG